GAAGGCGGGGAATGGCTCCCGGCTGGGCGCGGGCAGGGTTTGCCTGGAGGGGACATCTCCGTGCCCTGCCCAAGTGCTGGGTGTGAGGGCAGGACAGTGGGCAAGCCCTCTCTGAGGGGCAGCTCCCAGCAAAGGCTGGAGATAGAGCTGGGAGGGAGGTGGCACAGGGACCCAACAGCCACAGCATCCCTTGGAAGGGTACGGGAGGGACCCTCTGGATGCTGCTGGTGCCGCTGGGAATTCCCTGCTCTCCTGGGGACTTTGGGATCCCCTCCTGTGGCTCATGACCAGGAGCACAGGAAACCTGCCAGGGGCAGCGAGTCTCACTGGCACAGCAAACCACCCATCACTGCCAGTGCTCTGGGGGGAGGGGACAGAGCGCAAGGTCTGCACGGCGTGTGCAGCACAGTACTGTGATGGGGAACATATGCTCCACCTGGGTGCCAGCTGCAAATCCCAAATCCCTCCAGCCAGAGGGTGCAGGGACCCGCTGCCAGATGGGATGTGAAGGCATCACCCCAGCAAAGCCCAGGCATCCCCGCAGTTGCCCCCAGTGGCTCCCTCCTTGGTGCCAGGTGGGCGCAGGGAAGCTCACCGCCCATCACGGGCTGCTCCAAGCTGTCCATCTCCGGGACCTCATCGTAGTCCTCCTCCTCGTCCACATACATGCTCTCGTACTCGAGGTCATCAGTGTCGAGCGTGACCTGCCTGTCCTGCCCTGGGAGACAGCGCCAGGCGTGAGCAGCCCTCGCCTCCCCCTCCATCCTGCTCCCCCCAGCCACAGCCCTGCCTCTGCACACACCTGCAGGTACACAGCACACACGTGTGCACACCTGCACGCACACACACGCCTGCACACACACTCCTTGCTGCCCTCTCCTCTCCCCTGGGACCGGCAGCACAGCTACTGATCCCCCCAGTGCCTGCGAGTGGAGGGCAGGGATGTGACCGGCCACACAGACGGAGCAGGGGAAAAGGGAGACAGGGACTAAAAGCGCAGGGATGACACTCACCCTCTTCTTCTTCAGCGTGTGACAACTGGAGCACAGGGACCTCGTGAGCACTGCCAGCATGGAATGGTTGGGTGGGGAAGAACCCTGTGAGGGGGAAGGACACCGTGCAGGTATTAGGAAGGAGGTGACGGGGCCTGGGGGGGGCTTTCCCCCTGCCTCCTGGGGGGAAACCATGCCTTGCAGGTGTGGAGCAGCTCAGCACTGCCCCAGCACTGCTGCAACGTGCTGGGCTACGCAGCCAGGGATGGGGGACCTGGGGACACCCTCTCCTCTCTGCACCACAGACCAGGGCTGCCGGGGGCTCCCAGAGGAGGGACAGGCAGGAGGAGCTTCTACCCAGTGAGAGAGAACCCACTGGGAGCCCAGCAGGATGGGGGTGGGGATGAAGATGGGCAAAGGGAGGCACATGTGTCCACGGGGTCAGATCTTGTAGGTCCTCCAGGCTCTCCATCACCTGTTTGGCCGTGCTCCCTCTCCTGGCGGACGCTTCTTCCTCCTCCCTGGGCAGAGTGGAGGCTGCTCCTGGCCTGAGCCCCCCAGCCTCCTTGGAGAGAAAGCACCCACCTCATTCCAGCCCACCCCTTGCCCCCATCCCTCAAGCCCACTCCTCCAGCCCACCCTCCTCTCTACCAGTCCTGGCCCCTGCAAGCCCGCCTGCTCCAGCTCCAGCACCCAAGCACGGATGGGGTACAGTCCCTGTGGTCCCTCCTCTATGGGGTAGACAGACCCTGGCAGTGCCCGGACCCCATTGGCCCCATCCCAAGCTGGCTGCCCCTGGGGATCCCTGTTGCACCATCACTTCTGCCGTGCGCCATCCCTTCTCCCTGTGCACAGTCCCACGCTGATGCCAGCCCTGACCGAGAGGGTCCCAGCTGCCTCCAGCATCCCCAAAATCAGTGGCACACCTGGGTGCCAGGACCCCTTTGGTGCCACAAGCGTGAGGCAGGGGCAGGGGCAGGGGGGTAGGAAGTGAGAGTCGCAACCTGAGTGCTCACGTGAATCCAGGCGCCGTGGGAAGTGGCCACCACAGGCTGTGGGAGAGATGAGGTGGGAGGTCAGGGGCAGCGGGGACCAGACCCACATCCCCAGGGCAGCCGTGGGGGATGCTCACCACAGTGCTGGTTCATCTCCTGTCTGACGAAGGCGCGGATCTCCTCCTCCTGCCAGGCCCATGGAGAGGCGAAGGACCCACATCGCAATGTGGGATGGTGTGATTAGAGAAGAGGAAAAACAAAGGAGGAAAAACCCTTTCCCCAGGCCCCAGCAGAGCCCAGAGGTGGGAGAAGCCTCTCCATCAGCAGCAGTGGGATGGATGCAGCACCCCTTCCCACCCCGGTGACCCCAGTGCCATGAGCCTGTGCTGGCTCCTTCCTGGCTCCTTACCGTCATGCTTGGCTCCCCCTTCTCCCCACGGAGCCCCTGGGTGCCAGGACTGCCCTAGGGACAAGCAGAAGGGAGGTGGGAAGCTGGCCCTGGCTGGGGCTCACCCAGGCAGAGCCAGGCACCCGGTCACCCACCTGCTCTCCTCTCTCGCCAGGGATGCCGGGCACGCCACGGGCCCCCGGCACCGACTGTCCGGGGGGACCTCTCTCCCCCTGCAAAAGGACATATGCTCCAGATCTGGCTGGTGGCTCTGGAGCCTCGCTGCTCTCCCCAGTGCCATGGATGTGCTGCCTTCCCTGTCCCCACACCCTGGGGATGCCTGTGCAGGTGGGGATGGGGACGGGGATGGGTCCAGCCCAGCCCCAGGACAAGCAGGGTCCCAGCTTCCCAGGGTCCCATCCACTGGGCAGGGGAGGGACACAAAGGAGGATCAGCGAGCTGGCAGGACAGGGACAGAGCTGGGACGTGGCTCCTGATGCCACCAACCCCTCGCTCACTCCAGGGACAGGGCCATCCCCTCCTCACAGCACCCAGAGGGGGACCAGCCACCCGTGGTGGGCACTCACCTTCTGGCCCTGCATGCCCTCAGGACCTCGTGGGCCAACGCTTCCTGGGGGCCCGGGGGGCCCCGGAGCACCGTCACTGCCCCGGGGACCGGGGCCACCGATAATGCCCGGGGCGCCCTGCAGGAGAGCAGAAGGTGAGGCCGGGATTGTGGGAGCACCCCGGCCCCAGAGCAGGTGCCATGGGCATCCTCCGACCCCGCAGGTGGGCATCCCCAAAGCACCGGCACCAGTGCCTTCTTGTAAAGGGTGGGGATTAGTCGTCACTTATAGTTTAGTGACATAATTCAGAGCAGTGCTGGATGGCTCTTCTGGGACCACCGGGCTCTGATGTGCTTCTGACCAAGGCCGGATCCTGATAAAAGCAATGTGGTGCAACACATACCGTTCCTTTCCAGTGCACTCACCCGGTCTCCTTTCTCTCCCTGGTCTCCTTTGGCTCCCTGCTGCCCATCGAATCCCCGGTCGCCCTGCAAAGAGGAAGGAGCAGGCAGCAGGGGACAGACAGCCAGGGACAGACAGCAGGGGGGCTGAAGTGCCAGCACAGCTTTTCCCAGCACCGCCAACCTACCTTGGGTCCCATGAGCCCCTCCTTCCCGGGGATGCCCGGTGGTCCTGACAGACCCAGCTCTCCCTGGGGGACAAAGCAGATGTCCATAAGCCACCAGCCATGTGTTCCCGTCCAACCCTGGTGTCAGCGTGGTGCTTACCGGCTCGCCTTTCCTCCCTGGCAGCCCTGAGCGCCCCGGGATCCCTGGCTCTCCCTACAGCGGGCAGGAGAGAGGTAGGATGGTCAGTCCTGCACCCTTCAATGCTCATCCCAGAGCCGTGGGACCCTGTGCCTCAGCCATGGGGCTGAGCTTCGGCCTCAGCCATCTCCCTGTTCCCCCCCAGGTGGCGGAGGGTATCCAAAGGGCCACAGCCCCCAGGCACCATCCAGGCTCCTGCGGCACCCCATGGGCACCCACTCACCTTCTCACCCTTGTCCCCATTGAGGCCACAGGCACCTTTCATGCCCCGGTCACCCTGCGGGGATGAGGAGGGGAGTCAGAGCCATGCCGAGCCAGTGTGGGTTCTGGCCAGGAGAGCACTGGCGGGCAGAGGGGCTAACCCACCTTGGGGCCACGCATACCCAGGGGTCCCAAGTCCCCCTTCTCTCCCCGGGCTCCAGGGATCCCGTCGCGGCCGGGCTGGCCCTGTGGGAGAGCACACAGCGTGACGGGGGTCTGCTCCTGCCCCGCAGAGGGGTGGCAGCAGCACCAAGACACAGCTCCTCACCGGCTCGCCAGGCTCTCCTGATGCTCCAACTTCTCCCTGGAGAAGGCAAAGGCATCAGTCAGGGCTGGTGACCGAAACAGTGCCCCAGCACCCCCTCTGCACCCCCCAGCAGTGGGGGTGCCCAGCTCCTTACCTTCTGCCCACCAGGGCCGCGTGCCCCGGGGAAGCCCATGGAGCCTTTCTCACCTTGCTCACCCCTTGCCCCCTGCAAGAAGAAACCCAGATCAACACAAGGCAGGAGGGAGAGCTTCAGCCATGGCACGGCCATGGCAGAGCCGTGGTGGCATCTAAGGCCGGCTCTGGCTCTGGCAGCTCCCCTTGCCAAAGTGCCAAGCACCATCCCAGGGTTCCCACCAGCACCACTACATGGGGCACAGGGATGCCACCATGCCCTGGTCCCCTCTGTCCATTGCCCCATCAACAGCCCTATATGGTCCCCAACAGAATCACAGAATGGTCAGGGTTGGAAGGGACCTCTGGAGATCATCCAGTCCAACCCCCCTTCCAGAGCAGGGTCACCTACAGCAGTTGCACAGGACAGCGTCCAGGCGGGTTTGGAATGTCTCCAGTGTGGGAAATTCCACAGCCTCTCTCTCTCCACAACCCAGCAGCCCCCCCAGCCCCTTACCTTCTCTCCGGGCATGCCTTGCTCCCCCTTGTCCCCCTTGTCCCCTTCTGTGCCCTTCAGGCCACGGTCTCCCTGCAAAAGGGGAAACACAGGGAGGGGTCAGGGGACAGGGAGATGCCGAAACACACGTTGGGGTGGGGAGGACAGTACCCCCAAGGGCAGGGCAGTCTGTAGGGTGGCTGAAGGAGAGGGGACAACGTGCTCTGTGAGGGAGAGTCCCTTGGCAGCAAGAAGCCCCACCAGCTCTTCTGGTGGCAGACGTGTGGGGTGACTGTCCTGTGCCACTCGAGAGACCGTAGTGCTGGGAGCTGCCCTGCGCCAGGAGTAGGGCAGGCGGGGCCTTGGGGAGGGGGATGCACAGGACAGCCCCTGCCCATCAGGACAAGGGGGACAATGCAGAGAAGGACAGGGAGAATGGGGACAGGGAGGATGAGGACAGCTCTTACCGGCTCCCCCTTGCTTCCCCGTGCTCCAGCGGGCCCCTCCACCACCACAGTATCACCCTACACACCCGAAGGAGAGAGGTGGGGGTGAGCGGAGGGGCCAGCACTGCTGCCCTCCCTCCCACTGCCCCCTGCCCCGGGGACTCACCTTGTCTCCTTTGGGCCCCGGGGCCCCAACATCTCCCTGCAAGGAAGGGAGATGGTGAGATGCTGTAAGGATGTGCGGTGGGGGAGGAGGGGGCAGTACCGCTCTGGGGACCCCAATCCCTGGGGGTGCATTGTTCACCCCCCGGCTCTCCAGCCCCCAGGGTCCCTTACCTTGTCCCCGCGCTCCCCCCGGTTCCCAGGCAAGCCCTGTGGGAGAGAGGACAGGGATGGTCAGGGGGGACCCCAGTCAAGGGTGCAGCCAGGGAGGGGGGTATTTACCGCCGGACCGCGATCCCCTTCTGGCCCCGGGCGCCCATCTTCACCCTGTGAGAAGAAAGAGATGGGAAAAAAAGGTCTGGGATGGGGGCACCCCCAGTGTCACCCCACCCTGGGGACAGGTGTGGTGCTGATTTGCTGTCCCTTCGAAGTTGCACCATAGGATGTCCTGTTCGTGGTGGTGGGGACACAAAGAGGGATGCAGGGGGGGCTGTGGAGGTACCTACCCGAGGCCCCGGGTCTCCGCGCTCGCCCCTGGCTCCTGGCAGCCCGGCCCCCGGAGCGCCCTGCAGGGGGAAAGGCAAGAACTCATCCCTGTCCTCGCTGCCCATCGCTCGTCCCAGCCATGCCATGTCCCTCTCATGCCAGAGGACACCCCACAGACCCCCCACTGCCCTGGGTGCCCAGCACAGAGCGAGCTCCCATTGCCACCATCCAGAGTGGTTTCAGCATCAGCGGGGGGTGGCTGCAGCAGGGACACCCCATGAGAGGAGCCGCCCCACACCCCTTATGCTATAGGTCTGCCCCCATCCTACCTTGTCACCCTTCAGGCCAGGTGCCCCTTGTATGCCCTAAAAAAAAAGGAGAGAAGTGAGAGAAGGAGGAAGGTGATGCCAGGCACCCTGCAATCCATCCCTGGGGCTCCCATAGTGGCTCCTGTGCCGTGCCGGGGCCCCCAGCAACCCCCATCCCAAGGGGCTGGGGCAGAAAGATGCAGCGTGGGTCCCCATCACCCTGTCCGAGCTGGTGGGGGACCCAGGGCAGAGCCTGCACCTCCCCAGAGATGCTGTGGCACTGGAGCCCCATACTCACGGCCGGCCCTGGGGGCCCAGCAGGTCCCGGTGGTCCGGAGGTGCCATCTCTCCCAGGAAAGCCGATCGAACCCTGGCAGGGAAATACCAGTGAGTGGGCAGGGACCACGTCCAGGAGTCAGTGGGGCTTGCAGGGACCCCGCCAGTGCTGCCTGAGGGTCCGGGGTCACCCAGACCAGAGAAAGCGAGCACTGGCCATAGCCTTTACCCTCTCTCCTGGGGGACCTGGGGGGCCAGGCTGCCCATTGTCCCCTCTCAGGCCAGGTTGTCCTGGTGTCCCAGCGATGCCTACTGGGCCTGGGGGTCCCAGTGGTCCTGGCAAGCCAATGTCACCCTGGAGCAGGGAGGAAAAAGATGGGACCTATGAAAACAGCCCCTTGGGAGCATGGTTCTCCCTGAGCCAGCCAAGCCGGGGCAGTACCCGGGTGCTGGGGACATGGTGAGAGCCAGGATGACATGGGGACAGGGGTTACCTTCAAGCCCGGAGGCCCGTTCTGTCCTGGTGGTCCCTGCACACCGACACCTGGTGATCCCTGCATGGTGGCAGAGAGCAGACGGTGTGTCCCCCAGCTGGCAGGCATGGTGGTGCTGGGCGCACTGTGCCACCGAGAGTGGCCTCCAGGGCTGGGAAGCACCCCACATCCCTGGGACCAGGGGACACTCACCTTCTCCCCTTTGGCTCCTGAGGACCCCTTGGCTCCCTGCGAAGACACCAAGCCACTGGCAAGGGCTGTGCGATGCGTGGTGGGGGCACAGATCCCACCCCTCCCAGCATCCACTGCCCCCAGCATCCATCCTGCATCCCGCCATGTGCCTCCTACTCACATCTTCCCCAGGATCTCCTGGTTCCCCAAATCGTCCTGGCTCCCCCTGGCAGGGGAAAACAAGGAAAAAGCAATGGCATGTCATGATGCGTGGTGGAGAGCAGCTGTGGCCAAACACCCCCCCCCGCCTCGGGGAGGCAGCCAGGGAGCCCAGGACCCCCATGGCCCCCTCCCCACCAGCCCCCTGAGCAGCACTCACCTTCTCACCCTTGGGGCCCGGCAAGCCTCGGTCACCCTTGGAGCCCTGCTGGGGGGAGAGCGGTGTTAGGGGAGGGGGGCTTGCCCCCCAGAAGGCAGGAGGGGGTGGTAGGAAGGATAAGGCTAATGGGGGGTGATGTTGATAGGGGGGACGAGGTTAATGAGGTGAACTCACGGGCTCTCCCAGCAGCACGCCCTCCAGCAGCGCCGGCTCACCCTGCAGCGACACATGGGTGCTCAGGTGTGTCCATGCAGGTGCTAGTGCCCTGCGGACCCCTGCCCGCCCCAGCCCTGGGGCAGCACCCGGGGGTGGGGGTCCCCCACCTCCCACCCTGGTTCCTTACCTTCTCGCCTTTGGCTCCGGGCGGGCCGGCAATAGCCTGGGGCACAGAGAAGAGAGGGGACAGGTAAGCAGTGCTGCATGGGGATGCTTCCCCTCATCCCAGCCCAGGAACGCCGGGGAAGCTCCCAGCCGCTTTGGAGGCAGCTCTCCACTCACCTGCCCCGGGGCTCCGGCATCCCCTGGCTCTCCCTTGGGACCGGCAGGGCCTGAAGGTCCCGGCACACCCTGGCACAAGCAGCACAGCCCTCAGCCTCAGCTGCAGACACCACAGGCTGAGCCCCGGTGGGGCTCCTGCTGGGACGGGACGGGGTGAGGAGCAACGTACCATCTTCCCAGGCATCCCCGCCTCGCCATCCTTCCCTGGCACGCCGTCCCTGCCCGGCACTCCCGGTTTCCCGCTCTCCCCCTGCGGGCAGTAAGAGTGGGGCTGGGGTACGGGGGTCCCGCAGACTCCCCAAGCAGCCCTGAGCACCCACACTGATGGCAGCCGGG